CCGCTGGCGACGGCCCCAACTCTCCTGGCACTGCAGTTTCCCCCGTCCAAGCCCTCTTAAGTACACTTAACAGACCCTTTGGTTGCCTCCCATACAGGATCTCAAAAGGCGCTACTCCGGTCGTATCGTGTGGGACTTCCCTGTACCCCCACAGCAAGAAAGGCACAAATTGATCCCAATTCTTACCCTCCTTCTCTATTATGTGGTATAGCATGTTCTTAAAGGTCCTGTTCCATCGCTCGACCGCCCCATTGCTCTCAGGGTGCCCCGGCGTGGAAAATCTAGGGGAGCAACCAAGTCTCGACAAAAACTCTCTTGTCAGTGCCGCTGTAAAGTTAGTGCCGCAGTCCGACGCTATAACCTCGGGTATGCCTGTTCTGCTAAATACTGCCAGTAGTGCATCGCAGGTTGCCCTAGCGCTTAATGAACGCAAACACACCACCTCGGGCCAGCGCGTGCATAAGTCGATGATGCATAAACAGTACTGATGGCCCCGGTCTGATACTGGCTCCAGCGGCCCAGTAACGTTCACGTTAACCTGCTGAAACGGATATCTTGGTCTCGTAAGGGGTTCGATCGGGACGCTGTCCCCGTGGCGCCAGTCTGCCCTCGCCTGGCAGCCATGACAACTGTTGCAGTGCCGTCGTACGTCGTCTCCTACGCCTAGCCAATAAAAACTGTACTTGATCCTAGAGCACGTTTTACGGCAACCAAAATGCCCGGCCCAGCTTGACTCGTGCACCAGTTGCAAAACTTCCCCTCTGCGGCATTCCGGCAGCACCAGCTGCGTTACCGATTGCCCCAACACCTTACCCTTATGATAAAGTAACCCGCCGATTACTAGCATACTGCCTTTTCCTGTCGCTGCTCCTCTCCACGCTTCCTGTAAAGTCGGGTCTCCCCGTTGTTTCTCGCGAAATTCGTGTGACGCGGACCTCTCCTGCATGCGGATGCTCGGGGCTTCATTAGGCAGCACGCTGTCATCCCGCTGATCCCCTTCATCGCGGCTTGCTACAGCTACCTCGCTGATCAACACTTCCTCAATCGGGTGTCGCTCTACCAATTTTACACGAGTGTCCACCTCGTCCTGACGCCAAACGGCCTCGGCGTGCGGAGGCTCGCTTTCGAACTCTGGCCAAGCGCCGCCCACTTCTGAGGTACCCTCCACTACCCGTTCGAGGGTGCTCTCCTTGTGTAGTAGTTTCCATGTTTCTTCGGAAAGTAGGCAATCTGTTCGTGCTGTTAGACGGTCCGTTTACGCGCACAACACTGAGACTGGTTCCCTAACGTCGAAAAAAAACTCCACGCTCGCGCGACATAGTCAGTGGAATAACTGCGAGCTTGGCCTGTACTTTTTCCCCGAACGCCGAAGTCGGGTTGACCATCCCATGCAGTTGCACCAACTCTGGCGGGACCACGCTCTCACGGACTACTGTAATTTCCGCACCTGTGTCCAACAATGCTCCTATATGTTTGTCTTTGCAGTCGAGCGATACTGGGATTAAATCACTGTGTGCGGCTGGGGGCCTTCAATCGAAACACGTGCCGCTAAGCTGTCTTCTTTACTGTTCGGAAGCACTTCGGTCGGCTGTTTCTGACGCTGCGGGCAATTCCATTTCTGGTGCCCTGTACTGCCGCAACTGTAGCAGGCCCTGGGCTTTGGTTTCCCCTCCACGATACGGTTTTTTCCAGCCCCGAGGCCCTTCATTGTCTCTTCGTCGGATCTAGCCCTGCTCGCGCTTTTCGACTCCGCTACGCTTTGCTTTGCCTGCCTCGCGGCGCTGTTCGTCCCCTGTGCTTCTTCAAACGTTCGCAGCAACGCGGATATCTCTGGGACACTCATCCACGTTCTACCTTCTTGGAGTGTAACATATTGCAAGGCCTCTTCCGACAAATTTTTCTTTAATTGGCCGGCCACCAAAAGCTTGACCAGGCCCTCGAATGTTGACACCCCTCTTGCCTCAAGGTAAAAGGGGAGGTAGCTCTCTAAACGTGTCGAAAAAGGTCTCCACCCCTCGTTCGCACGCTTGCCTGACCCCAAAAATCTTTTCAGATATTCCCCGGCTGAAAGTCTGAGCTCGTCAAGCACAGTTTGCTTGATTACCTGGTATCTTTGTGCTCTGTTGGGCTTAGCTGCGTATACAAAAACGGGACTCTCTCCACTACCAATGGGAAAACTAAACGTCCCCAAAACTCCCCCGGTACCTCGTACGCTTCTAGGGCACTTTCCACGGACTCGAACCACACCGGTGCTTCAGCCTCGGCGGGAAATTTGGGTAACACCCCTGTGAGGACCTTTGAGTAGCGTCTCGGTTCGCTACACGGATCCCACCTGCCCAACTCGGGTCCACTCCACCGAGAGCTTCCGCCCATCATCTGTGATAGGCTCTCCATCTCCAACCGCAATTCGTGCAGTCTACGCTCCGGCGTGAGATTTCCGAAACGGTCATCTTTCTGGCTCTCCCGCTCACTACCCTCTCTTGGGTTTTCCACGTCACTCTCGTCCCCCGACTCGCGTCTCAAGGCCTGCGCTCGCCTGTCTGGGTTTAAGTGGGCAAACCTCGTGTCCATAAAACGCCTTAAAACTCAAAAAAAAAAAAAAAAAGGCAGCGGCACCCCTGAGATGTAAGAACACCAGAGGACTCACCACATTTGAAGTTTCTGCTCGCTGGTTGCTCGATGTCACCGGGGTTGACGCCGGAATGATGAATTGGGATGATTGTAGCTGGACCCCTTGCTTCCTCGGGTCGATGGCTGCCACACTGCCGGCTCCTCAGCTCGGTGGCTTGGCTCTTCGTTGGAACAGACGATGTCTTGGCTTTTGGTCTTGCGTGTTCTTCGCAACACGACGATCTCTTTGTTGCGCAGAGCGCTCCTTGTCGTCGTCGTCTCGATCCTGTCGGACTGCACCAGTAAAACTCAACCTTCTACCCACTCCCTCTGTTCTCTTGAGCAGAGCTCTCCCAGCTGCGTAGCGGCTGTTGCTACAGAAGGGAGTGGAAGGTTGGTTGCTTCTCGGTGTCCGTCTTGTCTTGTCGTGGCTGCTGCTTGTCCGGGGATGGAAGCCAGCATATTTCAAACGTTACACCAACTCGACTTTATATACAGAAACTTATGTACATATTTACAAGACTTCACCGTCGGAACCGTCGCATGTTGCCTCGGCAGAGCCGATAGTGCAGAGCACTCTTTGCTGCGACCAGAACCCCCGCGAGGACTCGGAAGCCAGGTTTTAATACCTCGGTTGCCCCTCCCGGTTCTCCTCACGGCCAACCAAAGCAATTTAGTCCGTTTACTGGACAGACAACACATTTGTTGCCGTCCCCTCCTCTCGCTCTCTTCTTCCCGCACTCGACTGCTCGGTCGGAAAGAGAGAGACGAAAGGACCGGCCTGCACACAAAGTTCCGCGAACTGTGCGAACGCACACAATGGTGGCGCCGTTCGGCTGCGGGCCTCCTGCATTACCGCGAGATGACTACGCTGTCCAGCACGACAGCCATCCCGCGGACTCTAATCCTAACGGATGGGTGGCGATGCACTGTCCTCACGTCACCCGCCGGCAATCCGCAGTCCGGGGACCATTTAGCTGGTTGCTAGAAGCGGCGACTGACCGCTGTATTCTCGCCAGAAGGGGCGCGCTTACGCCGAGATTGTCTCCTGAGAATCGGCTTTTTGGGAAGCGCGCCCTTTTGAGACCGAGAAGACTCGCTCCCATGGCCTGCGATGCCAGACCTTACAGGTTGTTTGTTTTCGGCGACGCTAGGTGTGCCTGTTTCAGTGGTCCCAGTGGTCTGCCTCCAACGCACCTCTGGTTTTGTTGTGAAGTCGAGTCAGCGGAGCATGACGGTGTTCCTAGTTATCTTCATCATCGCTTAGAAGTCTATATAAAACGAGTTTAAGCAATATGCGCTCATGAAAAACACAAGTCAATATCTTGCACTGGCGTGATACGCTACATCTGTGCGCAGGGGTGAGTAGACGGCGTTTTGTTTAAACTGTCAAATACGACTCGTAAAGCTCACATGCCGCAGAAAATCGGGAAATCTAGTGGTCGTCAGCCTCTTCGAACAACAAAGGCACTGCTTCAGCCTTTTTCACCGCACTGCACTACCCGCTCTTCGCGAAGAATGAAACTGAAACTGTAGAAAAAAGTCTGTAGACAGTTCGCTAGCTAACCCCTAACCACGAAGCCTGTACTTCCCATAATTTCCATGGATGTACATGATCACAGTGCCAGATTTTTCTCTAGGTATTATTGTATGAAACTCTATGGCCTTTGACCTGCTAGCTCGCAGCCTTCGAATAGATCAATTGCATTGCACAGCACACAATGAAGATACTTTTCACGAGCAGTTCTCTCAAGCACTGCCCACAAACTATTTCTTCCAACATCATTTAGCCTTGACTCTGTGTTGGTGACAATGACTGCTTTCGAGTGGATCTCCTCTTGTGCAGTGATGCTTCTGAATTCTTTATTCTTGCTCTAAAAATTAAGGGTGTTCAGAGGGGAGGACTCCTTGGCTGGAGAGTAGCAATATGAACGAATGCAATTTGAGACAATAATTCTGCGCTAATCGTCATTTAAAATGTTTGTTAAGCATTGGCACGGTTGTCTTTGTTCTTGCTTTGGAATGGGGGGAAGGTTTGAATGGGAAGATTGCTCAATGGGAGAGCTTATTTAGTAGTGAAACTACATTACTCTCAATAAACGGAACCTGAAACGACCCGGAAAATGCGTTACGTTCAACAGGAGTTCCGTTTACCGAGAGACGAACGTGACTTAAGAATTCAAGCAAGAAACCAATCATGCTATAGAAAGTTGTTCCTTTAAAGCACGAGTTCTGTTTCAGAGATTTCTGTTTACTGAGTCTACTGTATAACGGGATGCGGTCTCGACAAACAGTGCTGTGCTAATCGTTATTTGAAATGTTGTTGCACGTTTGCTTTTACTTTGGCATGCTCAGAGTGTGTGTTACTACATTTCTTCACTTGTTTTCAGAAAGTCTGGATCAAGGTGTGGACGTGAATGAAGACGCTCTCCTAGAAGAGGGCCTTCTGCTTCCCCCAGAGGGCAAGGCCAACAATGGAGATGTTCTCGCCGGTGAAGAGGAGCTGCTAGCCACGCCTGTCATGAAGGAGCCGCCGGCTGCTTCAAAGTTAAGCCTGGAAACTGGAAGCCTTGGTGCACAGTCCACAGCTGTTGCCGCTCCTGGCGCCATGCCACAAAAGACTGTTGTCACCCCTGCAGCCAAGGAACCAGCCGTGACCGAAAATGAGGCCAAGAAAGTTCGGCTGAAAGTGACCACCCTACCAGAAGAAGGAAAAGATGGTTCCGCAGCGACGGCTGATGCTGCCAAGGTGCCCACTAAGGGGCTTTCTGTGGAAGAGGTACGCAAGAACAGAGCCATTAGTTACTTGTTCATGCTGCCACGCTTCACTTCTTAATCCTAGGCTGTGCCCTTCAGAACTGATGATCTCGGCACAGTAGTTGGTTAACGTGGCTTGCATGCTGGCTCTATTACCGTTATATGTAAACAGTGGTACCATGGACCTGCAAACCAAATGCTATTTCATTCCATACTGTTCAGGAGAGAGATGTAAAAGAGCCTTGCTGCAGCCTTTCAGACCTCTCCTGTTATGGCTACCTATGTGAATTACTTACATTTTGTGCCGTAGCTCTACCATGAGCGCATTATTGTGATATCTCTTTTTTGTTTTCCTGCTTTTTGGCAATTTTAGGGCAGCAGACATTCATTACATGCATTGAGCTCAGTCATTGGCTCCTTTAGAATATGTATTGTAATTTATAAAATAATAATTAGGCTAGTATAGTGACTAGTTAATTAGGCTAGAGTTCTCTTGACATTCCGTTGTTTTTTAATCAAGAAAGCACCATAAAATCGTACTTCTGGTCATATGACATGTCTCAGTTGGTGCTTGCACTTTGGTAATGAAAAACAATTTTTTCTATCTGCTTATTCTGCTTCTTGTTTTTAGGTGAGCTGAACAAGCTTTGTGCAGAATGCAATGTAAGCAAAACTGTAAAATAAAGTGCGTCTCTGTAGATGTTTCTAATATTACTGATAAATTTGTATTGAGGCTCCCAATATAATACTTTTCCAACATGACACCAGGCTTTGCACACGATTGCGTGCAGCCAGTAACGTGAAGAGCGTACGTGTGATTTACAATTTTGCGTATACTTATCTACCCAATGTACTACCGGGCATTTATTTACTTAGTATAGTATGTTAGTTCGCCCCTATGTTCTCGAAAAGGCATCGCTGCTAACAGCATTATGTAAATCACTGGTTACAATTTCTTGCCTGTGGAAAATAATTCTCAATTCAATAAGGTGACGCTTAGTGTGAGCTTACTTGCACTGAGCAGCTCCACTGGCTGTTTTGCTGTACTGGCTATCTTTGCCTTTCACATGGAGTGGTAAATAAAACTAGTTGCGCATCATGTTGACTCGTTACATGAGAGAATACACCTTAACAGTGCCATACGGAGGTCATACAGAGCCAAAATCGGCTCTGTATGACCAGCTTGTAGAGTGACAGCTGCCGTCCTGACTGTCAAGGTAGGCCAACTGCTCTAAGGAGTCAGTGGCAGCAGTCTGTTTTCTTGTGCTTGTTGCTCGCAAAGGCAAAGTTTGGTTCGACTATGACCTTGTCTATCGAAAAAGAGTTGTTCTATGGAGGTGGGAATTTTGAAATTCCCACCTCCACAGAGTATGTGGACCATGGAGTCTTGACTTTCTTTCTAACTAAGCATTTACTTAGAACAAAACAAGCACTATGAGGTTTCTAGAGCGCTATGTCAATTATCCACATCAACTTAATATTTATTTACCTTAAAGACCATTTAAGCAATTACATGTTGACAAAGGCTGTCGAGATAACGGCTCTGTTGGCATGCAATTGATGTATATCCAAGACCAAAAGTGATTTTAAATCACTAAAATAGGATGGCAGAAGAAAAGGAACTGGCAGTAAAACTTATTTCCCATTCCGTTAAGGAAAATTGCAACTGCCCCTCTTTCTTTTCATGGTTAACATATCAGTTCATTACAGTTTTTAATAATTCAACTGTACATGCAGATGCACATTACTTTGAAGTAATGAGAATGGGCTTCTCATTAGATTACAAAGTGCATGAGATTTGAGTAAGTATGATACTCATTTCCTGCCAAGAAAACAAACAAATGAGTTATGAAAAGAGATTTGTTCAACTTGTCTTGCTTATATCTCAAAGGTGGATTGATATGTACAGCGGAACCTTAATTATACGTCCCCCGATTTCACGACGACCCTCATTTAACGACAAATCAGTTTGATTCCACCAAAATCCCCGTAGTAATGTATTTAAATCCTTGGTTTTACGACTCTGTTATTACGCCAACCCCACATCTCACAACTACTTTCGGATTCCGTCCGGAAAAAAAAAAAAAACTATCAAATTTCGACTAAACATTCAAAAGTAAAAATATGAACTTGCATTCCCCTAAGTTGACGATTGGAAAAGTTGAAAGTGTGACGGGTTGTCTTTTTAGAATGGAAAATTTTTTTCTCCTGGCAGTTAATGCGCTTCTCCTGGCAGTTAATGTGGAAAATTTGTTCTCCTGGCAGTTAATGTGCTTCTCCTGGCATTTAATGCGGAAAATTTATTCTCCTGGCAGTTAATGTGCATAGGTATACTGGATCGTTACCTACTTGGACTCTATCCACACTGATCAGCTTCATCCAGCCGCAAAACATTTTCACGTTTTCGATCTGTGGAAACTTGTGGTCTACATACAGCTGATCTCCTGCCTTTGTCCCACTCACAGTCACAGGCTTGCGCACGCGTAAGGGCATGATGCAGTTGTTTTTACTGTTAAAAATTACTTTTACTTGACGTAGATGATCATTATAGCAGCGGGGCACCACAAGTTGCACTTCACAAGGCAAAAAGTTACAATGCGCGCAGCTCAGTTGCACACGAAGCTATTCTACGCAAACTCGTGGTCTGTCGCCATTATGTGATAGCGATGACACTGTGTGCCACTCTTCTGACAGGAAGCTGTTAGCAATGCAGTTTTGGTTTCATTTTCACGTGGAGGCAATTGTCGGACTCTATTCATTGGTAGAAAGATGCACGCTGGATTCTATATTTTTTTAGCTTGAGAATGAAGATTCGCTCGCACCTCCTTCAACTGAGTAATGCTGCCACTAGTTGCCACTGCTAAGAATAAGCTAATCAACTTTCCTTGCAGAGTCACAAGGTCGTGCCGTGGGCTTACTCAAGCAGTCTGTACCCGTTTTTGGGGGGGAGGTTGAGTGTCAATGCCTGCAATCTTGGTTTTTCGATGATATGACACCTGGATTATACAATGGTTTTGCACGGTCCCCTGAAAGTCATATAATAGAGGTTCCACTGTATTCAGAGCTGCACAAAAGTAAATGCAACCTACAAAGAGTGGTTTTGATCCTTCATTAATGTTGCTCCATTACTATAATTGTAGTTACATGTTTAGCAGAGTTTTGGACACCTTTTCTGTTCTTTACCTTTTCCAGAGGATATCCCTTCGCTCCAAGAAGTTCAACATGCCACTTTCGGACACTGCACGACTCAAAGTACGGATGGAAAGGTGGGTGCAGATAGTTGTGCTTTGCAGGGAGCACAGTAGGCTTGCCAGTACTTACTATTTCTTGTGGTGGGGTTACCCCATGAAATATCGATAAATTGGCTGGGGTGGGATAATGGGAGGGGAAATTATTGGACATTTTGCAACTACACTCGAACCTCATTATAACTAAGTTGCATCTTGCATAAAAATAAGTTCGTTATATTTGAAAATTTGTTATAAGCATATATTCCCAACACTGTACCTATCCCAACACTATTTTTCACTGACTTAATTATAACCGATATTTTATGCTATCCATGTTATTTATATTGAGGCTTGAGTGTACTACATATTGCCTCGCTCACCTCTTGTATTTATATGTAACTGGTTCGTTACAAGTATAACGACTCTTTTTCAAACTGCTTTGAATGTCTGTAAACCTTCCAGATTATTTGAGAATAATCTGATAAGCCTGGTTGTGCAATGCGAATGGAACCAACCCAGGTACGTGTTGTAATGTTCGACTTTTCGATGTTGCAGTTATAAAATGCCAATACGATTAATTACTGATCAGATCACTTGACAACTGGTGCCGTTCTTGCAGCTATCAGTGTACAGCTTGAACTCTGTCACTTCAAAACACCGCCTAAATCGATTGGTTTCTGCGGTCCTGTATTCTACAATGCAAGTGTGAGTGGATAATTTGAAGCGGTGGTCAGCACCATCCCAACTAGTTTGAAAAGTTTGGGTGCCACGTGCCGATTCTTGTAAAAGGAAAATGTCAGGGGCACTATTATTAAAACATGTTGTGGGGCTAGTTAATGATGCATAGTTTTCTTGGCTCCAACTGTTACACACCAAGGTTAAAAAAAAAAAAACTGAGAGGATACAAATTACATAATGCAAGTTTGAGTGGATACTTTGAAGCGGTGGTCAGCACCATCCCAACTAGTTTGAAAACTTTGGGTTCTATGTGCAGATTCCTGTTGCCAATTTTGTCGCAAATATGTGGAAACCTTGCCCCTTAGAAGCCAGAAGACAACATTCCATGCTGATGCTAATGTTTGACAGGTGAAGCGCCCCAGTGTCGCTCTTGCCACTGATAGAGAAAAAACAAACAAACTTGTGAGTTGCCTCTGTAATTGCACCCCTGTGGAAAAGAACACAAGCTTTGCTGCAATGCAGTGGTGACCGGTGGGCAGCATGCCGCTTGCTTCTCTCAAAGGCATCCTGTCCAGACTTACCCATTCTTTATAGAAATATATGAAGAAATTAATAAAGAACAGTCCGACAGAACTTGTGATGTATGTAAGCCTCCAATTGGTGATCGCTCCAGCAATTTTCACTCTTGCACTGCTGGCAGAGTTCGTGCCTGCAGTGGGTACCTTCTTGAAAATTTGGTTCAGCAACTTGGTTGAGCATGTTTTTCAGACAGAAAAACATCACGAGTACCGCCAAGTTTACAGTTAAGTTATTTTGCCAGAAAGAATGGATGAATGATGGCGTCATGACACACCGACGCTGCGAGAAACAGGTGACGTGCTGCACGCACATCGCCACTGTGTTGCAGTGAAGCATGTTTTTTTTTTTTACGCAGGCGCACGTTTTAGCTGATCACTAGACCGTCTTTTTTTTTTCTTGCCCTGGCGTCAGCAAGGCCTGATGTTACCCATGTTTGCGGCAAAATCTGGACCAGCTATTGCTGTAAAACACAGTCCTTGGAGTTGCAAGCTCGCCGGCACAGCAAACGACCACTTGTGATATTACCTTCATTAATTCGAAATTACTTTCGTCCCGCTTCTTGTATGTAGAGTGAATTTGAAAACCCGCCTGATTTGAAGATTTTCACGGTCCCAGTAACTTTGAATCAACAAGGTTATAGTGTGCTTCGACCTTTCAGTTTTTTCGGGCACACGTTTGCTGACATAGTCTTGTCTTGAGCATGCCGACTGTGGCTTTCTTTGTCGCCACCGTGTGACAATATCTATACAGGTGGCTCCTTGTAGGCAGGAAACCTCTAAAGGATACCCTTTCAGAGCATCTTACAAGCATTCGAGCATCATGGTGTATCTTCTTTATTAGGGCGAAAGCCTCAGATGCCTCGCCAAACAGGAAATCCAACCGCCTGTCGTCGTTGAGGACTAGTGATGCAAACAAATTGTCACATGATGGCATCGCGACGTTGCAAATTCTGGTCTGACATCGTGTGACGTAATGGCACAGGACGCCACTGTAGTGCCCTCCTTTGGGTGGGGAACAAAACCGGGGAGCGTGCAACCTCGTGAGAAGAAAATAAAGACGGTACTTTGCTGTGGCATGTGATGCCACGGTGCGTGTTCACTGCTCCCATCATACGTAGACTGAGAAAAAAAAAAAAGGATGGCTTTCAACTTTGAGTCGTCTTAAGGGAATGCACGAGAGGCCCTGCAAGTTTCCTTGCGCAAGGTAGTGATGGATTTATGGTATAAGTGGCCCTCCCCCTCTCCCACATTTGCTTTCGGAAAGGTAATTTTATACGAAGGGTAAGTGGCAAGATAACACACCCCTTTATCACGATGCTTTGACAGTAATGTCAGTGGTAGGCAGTAGCTTAATGTCGTGGTGTGTTTCCATGCACAATTGTCCCGTCGGCCCACGAAAAGGGTGACTGCTCTTCACATGCTTGATGCAGTCACTGCTGCTGAATTGTGGTTACGTATTTGATGACGTCGTTTAATGTACCTCAACATTTTTACGATGCAGTGTGTGATGTGCTGATGTTCGTTCTAACGTTCCAAACTTTGCCTTATATAGGTTTGACTATTAACGAAGCTCTGATTAGAAACAGAATGTTCAGTATGCTCATTTTGTTTCGCAGGTTTGGTGCTACTGCTCTGAACAGCCCAGCGGCATCAAAGGCGACTGCAAAGACCACGCCAAGCTCGGTGAAACTGTCGCGAACCTCCATTTCTGCAAACCCACCCGTAAGTAGCCAGTGCGAAGTTATCGGCTCATAAGAGCAAACACGCGAGTGTGTCAGTGGGGATACACAGTTTTAAAGCTAAATGGCTCAAAATCTTGACACTTTGTAGGTTTGACTGTATTTTTCATGTGAGGCTGTGGCTTATACGTATATACCACATGAAAATAATATAGGACTAATCTCATCAAAATCAAAATGGCATATGTGTCCCAACTTTTTTCAGTTGGGACACATGTGTCTCGCTACAAGAAATGACGGTGCTTACAAAAGGGAGAAAACGCTGTCTCACTGTGAAGGTGCTACCTTGAAATCGCATCACCGGTCGATTATTTGGGATGAAATGTTAAAACAATAGGGTACAAGAGAGCAATTATCAAATTGGGCCAAGGCACATTTCCGAATATATTTGAACTCGAAAGGACGAAACGCAAGAAGAGAACACGACTGCACGAGCGAGGAACATTTTGTACACCTCATTATAGCTGTACAGTGCCATATGCAGTGTCTGGTAATTCAGTCAAACCTCGTTGGTATGCACCTGCTCTAAACGTACTAACGGTTAAAACATGGTTGCGACTAATCCCCGACAGTCTCATAGACGCTAATTCATTCGTGGACCGCATAAGCCTTAGTGGTTAATCTTATGCCTGCCGGTACACGAGTACCAACTGCATACAGCGATAGTAGTATTTGCTTCCATAAAAGTTCAGAGGGCCGATGAACATGCGGACGCCATGACGTGTCGCAAGCGGTTTTTCATCGTTTTAAGAGGCGAGGCTACACTTGATGGGCAACTTTGCTATTTACGTATAGATCTGAACGAAATGTTCACTGTTTGTATTTATATGTGCAGATTTTAAAAATGCAATTACTTTTCTGATAGGTCAAGTAGTTTCCAAGATACTCCAAAATCAATGTAAAACCTGGGTCTTTTGTTTGCAGCCTAATTAGCATCTAAGCAGGAAGCTTCAAAACATTGGCAATAGTGTAAAAACAATGTAGGATGTTTAAGGAGTGCAATGTGCTATAAATCAATTTGCTGCACCAATTTCAACAAGAGTTAGAGGACATCAATGTTCAAAGAGGAAAAAAAAAAGCCACCTTCACCTGTCACGCATGTGACCCAATTTAAAAATTTTTTATCTGTATATTTCCTTCAAAATAAGCATATTGCGTACTGCACGCACTTATATTTCTGGCAAAAAAGGAATTATGCTGGTGTCTCAAAAGGAACAGAAGGTATTTTCCCCTCCAACTTGGCAAATGTGCTAAAATTGATGTTTCGAGAAAACGAGAAAAAACAATTAAATACACCTTTCTTGAAAAAATACTAATAAAATCTTATGAAAATGCACCAAGGGCATAATCTGAATGGATCCCATGAATATGCTGCTTCTTGACCAGCTTTCTCAGACTTTGGGACGCTTCTCTCTATTTATTTGAGGTTGTACTCTGGTGATAGTCCTTCTCCGCCAGCCCTCAGGGATGTGCTGCTGAACATCATGACGTCCAGCTGCTTTAGAATAGGAGCAAATGTGCCGTATTTACTCGCGTAATTCTCGCACTCTCATAACTATCGCACCCCCCACATCGCCCAAGAAAAATACGATTTTTTTTTCCTCGAGTAAGTATCGCACTCCCGAAAACTCCCGCAGTAATCTCGTCTGCTCGTTCCAGCCACTGATGATGATAGCGCACGCTATCTGGCGCCATCTCTTAAGCATCAAGTGTACTATTGCACGGAGATTCAATCTAATCCAAGCCAAGCCGAAGTGGCCAGTGCGCGTTGCAGCGTGTTTTGTATGTTTTGTCGGTAATCTTGGCACGTTATGGGGCGATACTGAAGCCACACGCCTGCTTCAAGTTGCAAGTGATAGATTATGCGCTAAACAATGGCAACCGGGCCGCCGGTAGGCCCTTTAGAGCCTACCAGTTTTGTGTTCGCTACTGGTGACGGCAGCTGAAAGCCACCGAAACGCGTTGCGCCTGCTGTGCGCCTAAGACTGGGATTGATGGTAAACTTTATTTCTTCAGAAGGAAACTGCGGACGATTCTGTTAAATAGCCATCAGCCCAATACTGACGTCATACGCTTACCTTTTGAGGGATCCTGTTGAGAGCGGACCGCTACCGCTACGCCCGCAACGGCCAGAAGCTTCGCGTATGGTATTCTAATTCTTGACTATTTGCTTCCTCTTTTTGTGTCTCAAATAAATCTTGCCTTGTGTTAAACCTCTGCTTTTATTGCCCTAATTAGTACTTCTTAAAGCTTGCTGTAAGTTTCTGGCGTGAGAATCCCGATTTGCGGCCACTTCGTTTTCTTTTTCGCTCTCTGTGTTTTCATGGAAAGTTTTTCCCGCGTAATTCTCGCACCCCCCAACTGGCAAAAAAAGTGTGAAGATTATGCGAGTAAACACTGTATTGGCATTGCCCGTGTTGAAGCACAGCACAGCTTCTGCTGCAGCAGCTTGTACAGCAAAAAGAAAACTGTGCTGCTCCTTTGATACCAAACTCCAAATCATGGATTGGAGGCTTTCATGTGAATTCCGAGTCTTGCCTTGCTGGCATCTTGCCTCGCTGCCACACCACTTGACTCCAAAAAGCACCCAATTTTTCGCGCTGTTGCCGACACCGACGAAAAACCCTCAAGCGTCGTGGTTGTCTCGCGGGCGCGCGCGTCGCGAACTCCATTGGCATTAATCACATCAGCGTCTACCCACACACTGCCGGAGTTGATATTGCAGGCACTGTCAGGGAGGCCCGTTTCTACGCGCACTTCACCGTTGCCAATAGCATCGGCACAGTCATAATTCACAGAGCATCCGCTATCCGGGGAAGCATTCTCGCACACTCCTCCATTGATAACATCTTCAGTACACAGGCGGCCAGCGTCCACGCCGCGCATGCCTGAAAAACCGTGTTTGGTTACGATGGCGCTGTCACACAACATCGGCGCTTGCTCCCGCGACACAGTAGTAGCAGTTCTGCCTTTCTTCCGTGAACGGCGAAAATGATGCTGCGATTGGAACTTTTTCACACCGCCGGGCATAGCGAGATGCACAAGCATGTTAGGGATACGAGTCATGACACCTTCGCAAGGGCATAGAGTTTCCTAATTATTTTAGAAAATTCTGTGCGCAAGGGCGATACCCTTTCAACATAGCGGCTGACACTGCCAGCGAGTTTTTCTGGCCAATCGGGAAGTGCCATTTTGGTCACGTGCGTCAAGCAACCAATGGAATCGCGCGCTGCGCGTGATTTTGACTTTGCTTCTTTTGCTCTTGCGAGAGGCACATAGTTGTCTACTGGAAAAGAAAGAAAGAGGCAGAAACGCAACCTTTCTAACAAGACCAAAATGGTGCTGGTGGAGCGCGTAGTTCGTGTGTCGTCGGTGGTTGAAGTACGGCTAGTTGACACTTCAATTTAAAAATCCGCTTGCGCAAAGTTGCTCTCTTTATGGGTTATAACTTGAGAAATAAGTGGAATTTCGAAGCCAAACTTTGCATATAGTTGTGAAAGAGCATCGGGAACGCGAAATTGATGAGAGAGAAAATGCGATTTTTGGGCCGATTTTCGATATCTAAGTGCTGCGTCCCTTCTTCGTGCGTATATCCGCATATCAACTGTTCAGACTATTGCACGATAGCGGCAGTGCCTTTGCGGGTAATCGGGGCGGAAAAAACTGAGGTGAGGAGGCGACCACGGACAAATGCGCCTGCATGACTTATCGCCGATGGACAGCCTTACCAGAGTAAGCATCTCCAGCTGTCATCTCGGGTACTTGGGGCATAGTGCCACTTTAAACCTACTGCTCGCTTTTTAACCTATTATGTGCTAGACTGCCGATTGCCTCCGCATTGTGCGAGACCGCGTTCAAGCGCGCACTGCGTTGCAGAAACGCAAGCAGCTCGCTGTTGCGGTGTTTAGCGTCACAAGTCGCATGCACCAAGATACCTTCCTGTAACACGCGCACAGTGCAGCAAGCATAGTGCAGTTGTAGCCATACTGGACACTTCTATTAGGCTACGGCCTAACAGTGCCTTCCGCCTTTTGCCAGGACTGCTAGAGCATCGCAGAGTTCACATCGCTTGCAGACAGCTTGTCGTCGCCGCATTGGCCTAACAGGCTATTCGCTGAATGCGTGCACGGTCTGAAGCAGAGTGGACGTAATTTACTGCAAGTGGATCAGTAGCTGCGGTGTGCGCCGAGTAGGCGAAGTGCTGCACCCAACTAGCCACTAAACGATTTGACTCTCTGAGGCTGTACCACATTAAAAAAAAAAAAAAAAATCTGCATCAATGTTTGGTTAGACGCAGACCGCAAAACGCATGTATCATGGACCACTGATTATGTCCGTTCTATGGCTATAGCATGCTGCATATTCTGGACCTTGCAGTAGTTTGAAAAGCTCTTTGGACGGTTGTGCGAGAGGGACGAAATCTTTTCCCACTTGGGCAAAAAAAAAGAAATTACTTTGGGGTGAGTACATTAGCCAATACTTGCTGTTGCATTGTATTTGTTCGTTGGAGGCAACGGCGCACGTCAGGAGGTGCACGTTTGTAGCTGGTGGTTAATGCGTAGTATAGTACGTTTAGTGTGTAGTTATGCCGCTGTACCCAGTAGGTACGTATTATTGGGGGTTCACTGTATTAAGCTTTCACAGGGCTGGAGGGTTCTGTTCCTGCAAAGCTTACTTCTATGCATGCACCTGCATTTTTTTGCTAATTTTGTTGTCCTTACTTTTGCGTTTGAAATGGTCGAGTACTGATGTCCCTGAGTGTCTGCCCGCCTTTGAAGAGGTATATGACATCATTTTGTGGACCATTGTGCCCAGTTAGGCTTAGCAAAGAACCTGTCAATTTGCAAGAGATAGTGCTGATGCATTTATCTGTCTAGTTACTGCACAAGTTTATAAAAGCTGGTGACTGGGAGCTAAGATCGCCTCTTCAGATAACCAGAGGAAAAATTTACTTGCCACTTCAAATAGCAGATTTTTCTACTTGAACCAATGGAAAATTCACGAGCTTTCATAAAAAAAATGAAATTACTTTGAATGGAATTCTGGCACTGCCATAGAGCTGGCATTTTCCACTTATAATAAGGGAATTCTGGCTTCTTTTGCGTCTCTCATAATCATGTGGTAGTTTTGAGACGTTAAATCGCACATATCAATCAATTTTGGCTTCTTTTGTCGCCGAGTTGCTGTTAGGATTTTTCAGTTGCTTGTCGTGTTTTTATGTATATTTGCATTTTTTCCAGCATATATATTTGTTTCAGTGATCATCATCACAATCACCAATAATGCATTTGTCAATGACATCAAGCAGTTGATTGTTGAAGTCAAGTGTACTTACTTAGTAAGGTTGATCTACAAGTAATGTTAATCAAGCTATGGCAGCCGTGCATTCAGTTGGATGGTGACTACCCTGTAGATGAAGTTAAATGTGGGCTGTCGTTCATATTTGCAAATATTTTTGTACTACAAAATAATTAGTGATTTCTTCAACTCCCTTTCGCATATGAGTTACTCTTTTATTCTAAGTAAAGATAGTTACAGAGCAGGGAAATATAAATTTTCGCTTCTTTTGGGCTTATTTCGTGATTATTTGCTTGTAAGCTCGGCAGTATATGGCAACTCTGCACTGCAGTCTTTTAGTGGCAAGGTAAAACGATTTTTCTCGAGCTCACAAAGGACTTGATAAGTTATTGGCAACACTGCGTTGGGCTAATTGCGACACATTATGGTAGAGAAATATTTTTTGAAGGAGAAATGGGATGTTAGTGTCCTGCTGGTGCATGAAGGGATAACCCTTCGAACTTGACTTTGAAAGAGTAGTGCTAGGATCAACCTGGTGGTGCGGTAAATGCGCAGCCAAAGCCGCATCACGGCAGTGCCAAGGTGCAGTTTCTTAGTGCAGAGGACCAATTGACGAACTTGGTGCAACGTTACGTTGCCCTTTAAATTATGTGACTTCTCATATTGTACAGGCACTGAAGAACGATGAGAAAGTCTTCTTTTGAAATAGAAAATATGTGCGGTGTGCAACACTGGAATACTTGCAAAGTATGGTTGCCGCTCGTTTCTGCACGAATCGGTGAGCTTTTTTTAGATTTAAAAGTGGGAGCCTCTTTACTGGCCCTGTAAGACCGCATCTTGATCCATCTTGATGGCATGTGTATTCCAGGACATTTACTCGGGCTAGTTCATTTTAAATGGAATAGGTGAGCTAGGCAGTAAGCTTGTCTTCGAAGTCCAGTTGTTTTCCAGTTTTGGCCCATGGAAAGTTTTTCTGTTCAACGTGCAGCTAAAAATCGCCTCCTTGTTTACACTACCCACGATAATAGAGCATCAGCATGCAAAAAGGATGCGACGCAACTGTCTTCAGAGTGCGAGGTAGCTCTCCTTGATGTGAGAGTTAGCGATAAAAGTGGCACACCTCCAATTATGCCTCATTGGGAGAATCTCCTGTGTAAGCTCTCAACAAAATGTGCTCTGCTGTTTTATGATGATGCGAGTACTGCTCTTCCAATTAGCAACAGCATGCCTAGCTTTTAACAGCATCTTGATAACTGTTGAAAAGGTCTTCTCTTCCCTTTTTATTCAAGATGAGCACATTGAATGATGTGGTAGAACCAAGAAGGAAGCATGATGCTACCACAGCACCGTGCTCCCAATTTCTAACTTATTCCATCATTACCGATGGTATTAGCTTTGGTTTCATTTATAGGTTGGCACCCAGCTTTGGATTTTAAGTCTAAACAAGACAGGTCCACCTGCAGTCGTGCAAGTACAGTAAATCGGGATTTAATTGATCCTGAACAAAATTTGCCATGAAGGTGACCATAATAGACTAGGAGATCCTCGCCTGACTAATAGCCGTGAAGTGCTAGTGCAGCAGTTGCAAGCTGTTTCTTCTGACTACATATAGTATAAAACATGCGTGCACACCTCCTCTAGCATTAAACTCTCCACAAGGCGTGGACTCCGGTTCCTCCTCCACAGTGCTGTCGCACGTGGAACTTGCAAAATTGCACGTTGAATTCCATGTCATGGTGACATCAAAGTGTTCCTGGTCACTGATGCGCACAAATTAATTTTGTAGAGTCTTAGTACATTGGCAAGTAAGCAGACGATTTGGGTGCTTCTCAAAGCAGACGATTTGGGTGCTTCTCAAAGCAGACAATTCGGGTGCTTCTCAAAGCAGACAATTAGGGTGCTTCTCAAAGCAGACAATTAGGGTGCTTCTCAAAGCAGACAATTTGGGTGCTTCTCAAAGACCTGCAAGGCTTGCTTTACTGTCGAAGGAGGGAGATGCTAATTGTACCTCCAGACAGGAAAGAAGTTGAGCGTAAGATGGAAGCTTGAAGTGTTGAGGTGTCGGCACTTTCAACTAGTGTACTTGGCTTTGTCAGGGCGCAGACAAGTTTTGGCAGAGAAAAATCCAGTTGTCAAAACGTTTAGTTTGATATTTCCTGCTCAGCTGTATTGCTATTAAACCTGTGACTTCAGCACTGTGGGAATAGATGTTAAGGCAGCAACGTAGTCATTGTGCATATATTTTTTTTGTAACTCTTGATTACTTTCATGTTTCAGCCTGTTGACTTGGCAAAGTTGAAAAAGCGAGCGGAGCGGTTTGGGCAGAGTGTGTCCACCGTGGCAAAAGATGTGAGTGCTTTTCTGGTGTCTTTCATTTTTGCATTTCCGGAGTTTCTTCTCATATTTTGAGTGGTCAAGTGAGTTGAAGACGAAGCATTTGCATTGTATATTACATGATGCTTCTTTGCATCTTCGTGTAAATGACATAGGATGCATATGTACATCTATTTACCTACTGTGTGCGGTTTAGTAAAACCTGCAAGTCCTGGTACCTAGGAACAGGCGTGTCTGACATATGCACGTATTGGGGAAAGAAGGGCTTGCCCATTTTGTCTGCGATGTACTCCATCAGACCCACTTATAGCACTACTCAAGCACTAAGCACCACAAAAATTTCATTTTTATAACTGGTAATTGGTATAAACGGGCAAAAAAAAAATAAAAAAATAAAAGAGCAAAGTGGGCAGTTGTGGCAGGCATGCAGGCAAGCTGTCGTGGCAGGCTGTTGTGACAGAGCTGTAATACTATCAGATGGGACAAACCGCCATTAGTGATAACTTGTACAGATTACAAGGCTACCGATTTTTCAGATGCGCTTGAAAATTCGGATGCTTTCACTGCATCGCCAAACTCCTCATACATCCACTGTATTATAATGTCTGAAGTTCCGGATGCCAAAACTCTTTGAAGTCTCAACTTTTTATTCAAACGACATGTCTAAAAGGCCATTAACCAAAGCCACCGCCGTTCCCGCGCTGTAGTGGACTTGAAGTCAGCTTTGGTGCAATTACAATTATGGAATATGTAAGGAGGTGCTGGTGTTGTTGGCAGGGGTTCAGAATCTTGAATTTCTCCGTTCTTTTCAAGGCTTTTGCATTCCATTACCTTTCAGCACAGACACCGACAGCCAGAAGTAATGTTTATAACTGATAATGCAGCATGCGGGCATTGCTGTAAGCGCGTTATTTCACTGTAGAAAATATACAGAAGTTAATAGTGTAGCAGCTTTTGGTTGTTGTTACTGATATATTGTTAAAAGTGGTATTTTTATAAGTGGGTTCAGCTGTATAGCCCAGCACTATACAGTGAAATCTCAGGATAACGAACTTCAGGGGACCGTGGAAGTTTGCTCGTTATTTTGAAAGGTCGTTTTTGGGAAAGCTCAGAAATTAACCATAAATACTTACTTTTAACCGACCAAAACGACTTACCTTTACAACGGTGGGTCCTTGAACTCGTTTTTCACGAGAAAAAAAAAAGACAAATGCACAAGTAAACACCAAAAAATGCAAGTTTTTTTTAAAGAAGTCTGTGATTTTTTTTTACGCGAGCAGTGCAAACTTTGCAGCAAAAGGCCTCCAGCTCATCCACATTCCTGCGGTGCGATCCGGTTTTTTGGTCACAACAGCCTGCTTTTTGCCTTCCAGTTGCAAAGAATATCCATAGTCTCGCTTAGCGAAAACTGTTTCCGCTTCTTCGTCGCAAGCAGAGATGAACTCATTTGTAGTATCACCGCAGCGTGAACACCGACTTGCTTTGCAGACAAGATAAGTAATCACCGAAAAGAGATGAACACGACTGAAAAAACAAGGCCTCCAAAGAAAAACCCGAAGCGTCACGGCTGTCATCGCCTTTTTCGAAGAAAAAAAAAGTGCTAAAAAGTTTTTCTCGTTTCGTTTTCTGCTCTCGCTGCTCGCTGTCTCAGGTTTTCTGCGCCCGTGTTACCTGCCCCGCAACTCCCACTCTGCCTCGCCGACCTTGCCCTCTCATGTTGCCCTCGCCTTTGCGCCCGCTTGTATAGCTGCAGCGTCAGCGTTTCAACAAAAAAAGAAAAGAAAGTGGCCCTTTCGTTTTTTTTTCCTCCACACCATTGCATGCCTTCCGAGAAGTAAGGCGTCCCTCCGCTTTGTTGTGTGCTTGTGTACGGTACTACTTCGGTGGTTGCGACGGCTTTCAGAACATAAGTTCGTAGTACTGAGGCATTTTTAATATAACGTGGAACTAAATTAACGCTCGTTATTCTGAAAAGTTCGGTATTCTGAAATACGTAGTAGTGAAATAATTTTACATTGAAACTATTACCAGTCGGCGTGGGATTTTTTAAAAGTTTGTTAATCTGAAAAGTTCGTTAATGTGGGGTTCGTTTTACCGAGATTTCACTGTATGAACATAAGGGTTGAATTGCTCAGATTGAGACATCTTGCTTTAGCTTGTTGCATTTAGCTTGTAATAACGTTTGATTTGCTGCACTGAAGAAGAGTAAGAGATAGTTAACATGATTTTTCTATTTTGTGGTTCAGTCGAACCCCACTACAGCCCCGCTGTGCTGGTCTAGTGGCTAAGGTACTCGGCTGCTGACCCGCAGGTCGCGGGCTCAAATCCCGGCTGCGGCGGCTGCATTTCCGATGGAGGCGGAAATGTTGTAGGCCCGTGTATTCAGATTTGGGTGCACGTTAAAGAACCCCAGGTAGCCGAAATTTCCGGAGCCCTCCACTACGGCGTCTCTCATAATCATATTGCTACATGCATGTATATTGATATTCTAGGGGGCGACGCGCGTGTGTGCCTGACGAGGAAGACGAAGGGTTGTCTCCGCTCGATCGCTGGTGAACCGGGCACGCCATTACCGCTGGTTTGGAATATAGTGAAATCCCGTTATAACGAACCTCAGATTAACGATTTTTTCAGATTAATGAATATTTCGGAAATCCCCTTCCAAATGTCCATTGGTTCAATGTAAAAATATTTCACTACTACGAATTTCAGAATAACGAATGTTTCAGAATAATGTATCAAATTTTATCACCCTGGTACCTTAAGAGCACTTCAAAATAACGAATTTCTAGCGTAAAAATTACGTGCGGCGGTCTAAATGCCCAGCGCCATATGTGGCACTATCATCATCATCAGAGCTCCTGCTGATTTCTCCATGCGTTGCCTTATGCTAAATGCGCACTAGCCTGGCTAGCCCTATCGCCATCGCCAGTACCTTGTTTTCGATGTTTTTTTTTTTTTTGCATGCTCGTTGAGCCAGGTTGAGCCTAACCTCGCCGCCTTTGTTTTGTTACGTCGACCGGCAACGTCGCACGATTGTCGTACGGCTTTCTCGTTTTAAAGGTTAGAGTGATTCGTTTCTGCGTTTGCGATGAGCTCCGGAAGCAGCGCGAAAAAGAAACGGAGGCAGTTTTCTTTGAAAGAAAAAGTGGATATTCTTTCTCAAGTGGACGCCGGTAAAAAACAAATTCACATTGCGAACGAGATGGGGGTTGCACCATCAACTGCCGCAACCATCCTGAAGGACCGACAAAAGATCCTCGAGCTGCACCGAGGGTCCCAACTCGCACCGTCAAGAAAACGGCTCCGACTTGGGAATTTCCAAGAAGTGGATGCTGCAGTACTGACTTGGTTCAAGGACGCGCGTTCTCAAAATGTGCCGGTGTCGGGACCCATGCTGCAGGAAAAAGCCTGGCAATTCGCTGATGCTTTGGACATTACAGGCTTCGAAGCAAGCGCGGGGTGGCTTCATCGTTTCCGTGAAAGGAATGGAATCAGCTGGCAAGTGGTGTCTGGTGAAGAGAAGGCGGCAGACGCAGCAAGCGCTGCTGCATGGAGGGATGAGAAGTTCCGCGAAATCGTCGCTTCATACTCCGAAGATGATATATTCAATGCGGACGAAATGGCGTTCTTCTATTAAATGCTTCCTGATAAAACCATGCATTTTAAAGGGAACAGCTGCAAAGGCGGCAAGCAGTCCAAAGTCCGGATTACGGTATTGTTATGCTGCAATTCCACAGGCACCAAGAAGCTGAAGCCCTTGGTGATTGGCAAATACAAGAAGCCTCGCTGCATGAGGAACGTTGTTTCATTGCCGTGCGATTATCGGGCTAATTCACGCGCGTGGATGACACGAGAGTTATTCTCTGAGTGGCTACTAAAGGTGGACGATGAGATGAGGAGCGCAGGTAGGAAAATCCTGATTATCGCCGACAACTGCTCGGCGCATTTTGTTAATGTCAGGCTGACAAATGTACAGCTGGAATTCTTGCCTTTGAACTGTACGTCCTTGCTCCAGCCACTGGACCAAGGCATCATAAAAAGTGTCAAGGCCCATTACCGGACACGCCTGGTTCAGCGATTGTTGATAAATCTTCGGATGAAGCTGCCTACCTCCATCAATGTGCGACAGGCCACAGAAATGGTTACCGGGGCCTGGTGGAGCGTTACATCAACCACCATCCAGAACTGCTGGAGGAAGGCAGGCTTGGTAGTAATGCCATCTGAATCTGAACAAGGCAGCGAAGAAAGCGACGCGAGTGGCATGTGGCAAGAAGTCGTCGAAAGACTCGCGATGGATGCCTCGGTGACGTTCGAGGACTATGTGCAGTGCGACGACGAAGCATGCACGTCAGCCGAACTGACGACCGATGACATCGTCAGTGCTGTTCGTGGTGATAACAGCGACGAGGACGCCAATGGCGAAGACGACGCTGAGACCGCGCCCGTTAGCCAACCAGAAGAATCGCTTTCCAACGCCGACATCATGGAATGCGTGCGAAAGATGCGCACTTACCTTGGCAGGTGCAGCAATGCCACCGAAGCAGAGCATAAGAATGTCGACAACTTCGAAGCGTTCGTCCTGCGGCAGTTGAGCGGCACCCGCCAAGCCAAGATCACCGACTTTTTCAAATAAACGTGCGCTCATTCCGGAATGCTTCGCGTTTTGTTTCTTTTCACGCTTGTCATAAAATCAAGCGTTTGCGGATGTGTACACAGCAAAGGTAGGCGACTCCTTTTGTTGCATTTACGATTTTTAATGCGAATTTTCGATGTTTTCACTATAACGATATTTCAAAATAACAAACTATTTTCCGCGGTCCCTTCAAATTCGTTGTATCGAGATTTCACTGTATATCTAATCCCCAGCCTCGTCGTTACGGGGTCTCTTCTTTTCCGTAACATAATTGGTGGAGGTGCTGGGTGGAGCAGCCGCTCCACTGCTCGCTCCAACCACGCCATCTGTCGCCGGTCAATTGTGGATCCTCTCGGACGGAAAACTAGATCATGCAGCT